TCGTCTCGGTGTGAACATCTGCTTTGCGCATCCACGTCCAGCACGAAATCCGGCTCGGTTGGACATCGTCCTTGAGTAACACGCAGCCTGAAATCATTTGAGTAGAACAATAGCAAAGATCTTCGCACCAACGTCGATGAGGCTTATGTCGCGGTAATTTTCGGATCTCGTCATATCTCCCTTCTTGAGGATAGATACAAGGATGTCTAAGCCCCAGTTCAAGTGCGAGTTAGTGGGACAACTATTGAGGGTTGCGAATTCAATGCAATACAACTAACACTAAACTCCAGGAAACTAGTGGGTGAGTATGTGTGATTTTAGACTTCATAAACGCCTTTCAGTCTCCTCGGAGTCTATTTGTCAGCCAATACGTTACTCATCGGTCAGCATTTAATTTTTAAGTCACGTCTAACGGAACATTTAGTGTTGTTCAAGACGACTCTTAACGTACTATTGAGTAATGTCCATCTGTCGTTGTATATCCTCTGATTAGCCCTCAGTTAATTATCTATATTACGGATTTTATATGGCGACAGACCGACTATACCATGGCCTTAGACGAACAACTGTTCGCACGCCCGAAACACTGAATCATTTTGCGCATACAGTATTCTCACTTTCATCAAACGCTTGCTTGTGGAAGAAGAAGAAGGGGGGTCGAGCACTGGAACATCTCTTTATTGTTCTGAGCTTTCGAACTCGTGCTCGGTCATGAGACAGATTCCCCCAACTCTAGAAACTATTACAAACTCTGCAAATTTTACAATAGGAAATATTCAAAGGAAAGATTAATCAAGAACAATTTATGGTGGGCGTGGACAGACAAGTATGCCTAATGACCCAACTAATGTTCATCGGGGAAAGTTTCGGTAGTCGCCCGAGTCAGCAGCAGCACCAAATGTCATGGGCTCCCCACTCGCAGTCTGGGAGTCTATAAATGATTGCGTATGCGTTACCCGTGTACCCCCCATAGGACTGCGAGCGACATTGTCACAACATGTGTGTATATGTTTGAAGGGTTAGAGACAGAGTCCCTGGTGACCCTATTTATGTACAACGATTTCGCATATTCGCACTCAAAGTACAGTTACTAACAATCAGAAAGTGGTCTGTTCACCGTACGTTAATAATGAGGCGCATCTGTACTCTGCGAGTCAATACGGAAAGATCGAATATGACAATCCGTTTTCTTTTAAAAATGCAAATCGTTTCGATCGTCATCAAACCATTTGATAGCGAGTTCCATGGTTGGACAACCCGTTGGCTGAAGGAAAACTTCCTACGATCGAGCCGCCTGTATTCGCTCTTGACTTAATAGGAGTGGCCGAGTAGTTGACTCGCAATGGTAAACTCAAAGAAGTTCTCAGATTTCAGTGAGCAAGCACGGCCACGGACAATCGGGAATGTCCAGAGTAGACCGCAATTTAGTTGTTTATGAGATAAGGGGAATAAGCAAACATCTCCTGTCTCTCCTGGTACGACAAGTGCTGTAGACAATCGACCATCTACTTTGCTCTGCGTTGCACCCGTTCGAGTAAGTCAATTTCGTTCCTCATCCTTGATGCTGCTGTTGGCATTCCATATTTTTGGTCGTATAAAGACGACCAAAATTCTTCCGAAGGGCTCGGGAGGGAATATTTTAAATGCACATCTGATCCAGTGCCAAGTATTTGCTGCCTTATGGACCATCCTCCTACAGTGTTCTGACGACATTAGATTTGTGGTCGTTCATACACCCAGATCTCTGTGTCTTTCTACAGTTTCTTATACCGTCCAGTTAAGATAGTAGAAATGTTTCGGAGAGGCATTTCGGCCGGCATTTAAGCACAAGATCACTCATATGAGGAGGTTAAACTTTAAAAGCCACCTGTCCGATCAAACCCTCAGTTTGTCAATGTCCGATTACAGCTTGTTTGCGTCATCGACGCAATTTTCTTCACTCTATATTCTAATGTCATCCGCGAACATGAGAGCCTCGCAGTCCAGTTCGCCAGGGCAATCGTTTACACAAACCAGGAGGAGTAGCGGGCCTAAAACAGAATTCTGTGGGACCACACTTTCCACATTTGCCCATTCCAAGGTAGAGCCGCCAACAACGACTCTCTGTACTCTGGAGGACAGGGAACTCCTGATTCATTTAAATATTATTCCTCGAATTCCCACATTGTAAATCTTCTGTAAAAGAAACCTGTGTGGGACGCCATCAAAGGCCTTCTTGAAGTCAAAATATGCAATCTACTGGATAATCCTTACCTGTGACCCTTGTCCACTTCTCGGTCGAGTAAAAGCACTCATAAGGCAGGAACATTCTGCGCGAAAGACAGGTTGGGCATCATATAATGTCTTGTTTATCTCTTGGTATTCCATTAAACGTCTTTTAATAAACCGCTCCATTATTTTATATGCGATACAAGTTAGACTGGTAGGTTGATAATTTTAACAGTCAAACCGTAAACCTCCTTGATGGATCGGTTTGATGAATGCATACCTCAAATTTTCCGGGAGTTCGCCTTCCTCAAGTGACTGTCGAAATATTATAGCTGGTGGTTCTCGTAGCTCATCAGCAAGTTTTCTAAGTGCTAATGCAGGGATTCGATCCGGTACAGGCCATTTGACAGGCTTCGGTCGGAGTAATTCGGTCTTAACCATGACCGACGAAGAGTGTGGTTCCCCGACCGAGGAGGGTAGCGAGGGAGAAAGAGGGGGAGAATGGGGAAGTGGAGTAGGAGGAGACGTTTGACGATCGAGTGAAGGCGAAAATGAAGAATTAACTTCTTGTTTGAAGACGGACTGAAAGAAATTAGACAGAAAAGACGCCTTAACTCGGCAGGGGTATGCTTCTGAGTCCGTTTAGTACTCTGTATGTAGCCATATAGAATTTTCAGGTGTGTCAACGAATTTTACAGCATCCCTAATTTGAAATTACTTCGCAGATTGGAAGCCTCGTTTGTACAACTGGTGCGTTGCTGCTTATATTCCCGCAAGTGCTTTTTAAAGGCGATTTCTTTTATAAAGAGGCCTGAAGGTCCGATTTTATCCTATTTCGACGGTCTGTAATTGTCTTTCTTCTGAGGGGACAGTCGAGATAAACACTCTCGTTTAGTAAGGAACTGAAAATCTTCCAGTTGTCATTTTCCTCGCCATGCACAAAACCGCGGATGCTTCTCTCAGCAAGAGTGAATAGTCTCTCTTCCAAATGTTTCTTCCCCACTTATCAGACAGAATTGGTTTGGAAAACCATGAGTACTCGAAATAGATTCTAATGTGGTCGCTGGACGCTAACGACGGCCGGTCTTACTGGTCAGGCACATTCTTCTCCTCTGGGGTAAAAATAAGATCATGGCAGTTCGGCTGTTGTCCTTTCCTAGCTCGCGTTCCACAGGTAACGTTCTGGTAGAGATGTTTGCTCGTTGCCCATTGTAGTGGCTTGTGAGTAAAGTTGTCCGAAAGTCCCGTCGCAGTCCACATTTGTCAATAAATGCCAGGAGTGTTAAAATTCCCAACGATAAAGATATCTTTCTTCTCACTGGCATTGCACGGTTCGGTTATGAGAATGAGATCTTGGCCAAAATCCTGGTCAGGTAAACGGTACACCACTGAAAGTGTCAGCGGTCGGGCACACTTAGTAGATATGGTGGTGCTTAACAGTCTCACATCCCGCACCGGGTTATTTGCCTCAGCCATAGCGATCAGCTTGCAAGGGACATAAATAATGACTCCGCCTCGTCGGGTTGGTCCATCTAAGCTCCAAGTGATATTTCTGGATCTACAATAACTTAAGACGGCCACTTTTCTGTGGCAGTCATGATGTCTGGTTTAATGTCATCAGCGGAGTCGCCCACTTCATTGAGTTTATTGAACAAACATTGTACATTTGTAGGTTTATACTCACCATGTGCTTCTGTGAGTCTGAAGGTTTCGAATACAACTCCAGCCCTTACCACTAAGAACGTCAGTTGGTCCGCTTAGTGGTCCATAAATTTACCTCGAAGATGTTAATACAGGATCGACAAATCACTGCCAAGAGCTCCAATATACACTTCTCGCACTCGCCATACCGCTCTAGAACATTCAGTGATCTCATGAATCTACTGATGTTAGTCCTCTCCCATGCAAATCTTCGGTAAAACCGGACTACGGACCCCATCATCACAGATCGCCCTACCCTACACTTACGGCAATTTGACCTTCGATGTTCACAGTGTGCTCGACTGCATGGTGATAGTACAGACAGTGGCTCGTGGGTAATTTATTTTGAAGTGATCGGAGATTTGCGATGCGTCGGCCACACTCACCTTCTTCCCAAACTGAAGCCGGTATCATGAAAAATTCAGGAAGCACGGAGCCGGGACACTCCACATACAATCTCATTGAACTACTATGCGTGAATTTCTGCTCCACAGGGCCTTGGTAAAACCCTCGCTCTCTTTTATTCGGTCAACCGTACTTTCTACTGGTGCTTTATAAAAATGCCCCCTGATGCAGACTGCATGACTATTTTGACTCGTCTTCAACACGATCTGGTTGGTCTCACCGAGTGATGCTCGGAGGACACTCACCGTATGATTGCACGAGGTTAGATACCACCGTTAATATAAGTAACGCTAGAGAATTTTGCAGTCTGGGAAACCTTATCGATTTTAGTGGCACATTTTATGGTTATACCCTCGTGATGGTTTTAACCTCGGAACAGTGGGATGCGACTTACCAAGAACGTTCTGGACTCACAAAACCTGATCGTTTGCTGTTCCGCAAATTACAGAATAAACTCTTTTCCTTGTCTAAGTTTTTAAAATATAGTACTTGTAGCAGTTCGCGTCTCCTCATCGTCTTGTCCAACTCAAACCGTCTTCCCTGACTTTTGATTGGGAATCTTTATCTTGTCGACCGCTCGACTTTCGACCATTGGTGACCCCGACGTGATCCGAACACGAACAATTGGTGACTCCTTGCGAACAGCAATCCTTTTCTCTAATCTACGATAAAGTCAGGTGTTGATCATGGACACTTTTCCACCGGAAGTGCAGCATATTTTGTCACCCGCCTTTGGCATTCTTTCGGCCACGCAACTTACTCAAATGGCCGAACGGCTTATGGAGATGCACGTTTTTTCCAAGCCGTCTATTTCAGCACTCTCAACTCCCTCAACTCCTCCTGCGTCTCCCATTTCGCAGTTAGGGATCGAGCTCAGCAAACTGGCCGATGATATAGCCGCTCTCCAGAAGCAGACAGTTTCTGCCTCATCTCGGAGCCAACCGAAGCCGTCCACCCCGCATGCCCAGTCTTTTCATTCAGCCCGTCCAAACGCAACTGCCACCTGCTGGTACCACACCACCTTCGGTGCTAAAGCCCGTCGCTGCATCTCTCCTTGCTCCTTCACTTCCAAGCAGAGCAAACAGGTTAAACCGGTCAACCCGAAGGTCTGTGCAGCCAATCTTTCCGACGGCTTTAACCCTGGTCACACATTTTACGTCCGCGACACCAGGAGTGGCAGACATTTCTTGGTTGACACTGGTGCCCAGCTAAGTGTCATTCCACCCACACCAGCTGATCGTCGGTGTCCCAATCCCGGTCTTTTCCTACAGGCCGTCAACACATCGCCGATTACCACATTTGGCATCGGTCTCCGGCGTCTCTTCCCTTGGGTCTTCGTCGTTGCTGACATCCCCTGTGCAATTCTCGGTGCGGATTTCCTAGCCGCTTTCGATCTTCTGGTCGACTGCCGTCAGTCACGTCTACACGACAAGACCAACAACCTCACTGTCCGGGGTATCTCTTCCTCCGACGCCTCCCGTCATCTTGCCGTCTTGGACCCTGAACCCGAGAATCCATTTCGGCAACTCCTCGCCAAATACCCCGGCCTCACTCGTCCCAACTTCAACGTTTCTATTCCACCACATGACGTTGTTCACCACATTCGGACCACCGGCCCTCCCGTGTTTTCTCGCCCCCGCCGTCTCGCGCCGACACGTCTTGCTGCCGCCAAGGCCGAATTCGATCACATGCTTCAAATGGCCATCATCCGTCAGTCTGAAGGCCCATGGGCCTCACCCCTCCACATGGTTCCAAAGGCCGCCACTGGTGACTGGCGCCCCTGCGGTGATTACAGGGCCCTGAACAACGTTACTGTCCCGGACCACTACCCTGTCCCACATCTTCAGGATTTTGCCGGTGCCCTATTCGGCAAGTCTTTATTCTCGAAGATTGATCTGGTCCATGCTTTCCACCAAATTCTCATAGCCCCAGAGGATGTTTCGAAGACGGCCGTTACCACCCCCTTTGGCCTCTTTGAGTTCCTGCGCATGCCGTTTGGACTTCGCAACGCCTCCCAGACCTTCCAAAGGTTTGTAGACAGAGTGCTTCGCGGCTTACCATTTGTCTACGCCTATATCGACGACCTTCTGGTAGCCAGCTCCACCACCGAAGAACACATGGAACATCTTACAACGGTGTTTGACCGCCTTCAACAATTTGGCGTTGTTCTCAACCCGTCCAAGTGCGTCCTCAGTGTGCCCTCCCTGGAATTTCTCGGTCACCTGGTCGACTCCCACGGCATTCGGCCTCTTCCCTCAAAGGTTGCCGCCATTCGGGACTTTCCACCCCCCACCTCGAAGCGTCAGTTGCAACAGTTTCTTGGTATGGTGAACTTTTATCGCCGGTTCCTACCGAACTGTGCTGATCTCATGTTGCCGCTCACCAACATGCCTTCTGGTCCCAAATGTCCCTTCGAGCTGACTGCTGAAGCACTGAATGCTTTTGAGAGAATCAAGAATTCCCTTGCTGATGCCACCTTACTCACACATCCCGCTCCCGAATCTCAGCTGTCTCTGATGGTAGATGCTTCGACCGTAGCCGTAGGTGCGGTCCTTCAACAACACTTTGATGGTTCGACTCAACCACTTGCTTTTTTCTCCAAAAAGCTCTTACCAGCTGAGACAGGCTACAGTACCTTTGGCCGGGAACTACTTGTCATTTACCTGGCTGTGAAGCATGTCCGGCATTCCCTTTAAGGTCGTGACTTCACCGTTTTCACTGACCACAAACCGTTGACTTTTGCACTTCGTTCCCACACTGACAAACTTAACCTCCGGGAAATCCGCCAACTGGACTACATCTCCCAGTTTACCTCAGATATCCGCCACATCGACGGGTCACGCAATGAGGGGGCTGACGCACTGTCCAGGCCCTCCATTGCTCATCTTCAGCTTTCACCCGGGATAGACCTCGCTGAGATGGCCGCTGAACAACGCCGTGTCGGTCCACCCTGTGATGAGGATGTTTCCGGACTCCAACTTCAGGAACTACCACGGACAACTGGCAACGGCACCATCTTATTCGACGTATCCACCCCTTCACATCGTCCATTTGTGCCTCCATCTCTCCGCCGCAAAGTTTTCTCCTCCCTGCACAATCTGTCTCACCCCGGGAGTCGAGCAACCGACAAGCTGGTTTCCGACCGCATCGTCTGGCCTGGTATGCACAAGGACCTCAAGGCATGGACACGGGCTTGCATCGCCTGTCAACGGAGCAAGATCCAGCGGCACAACAAGGCCCCCATTGGTACCTTCCCCGGCCCTGGTGCAAGGTTCAGCCACGTTCACCTGGACATTGTAGGCCCCCTGCCTCTGTCCAATGGTTGTTCCTATCTCCTCACCTGTGTGGATCGGTTCACTCGGTGGCCGGAAGCAATTCCCCTGCCTGACATTGCTGCTCCAACGGTGGTCAAGGCTTTTCTCAGTCGTTGGGTTGCTATCTTTGGTGCATCCTCCACAATCACGACTGACCGTGGTGCCCAATTTGAGTCTAACCTCTTCCAGTCTTTACTCTCCTTTTTAGGCTGTACCCGCATTCGGACGACAGCCTATCACCCGGCTGCTAACGGGATGGTCGAGCGGTTTCACCGCCAGCTGAAGGCATCCCTACGCGCCGCGGCCGATCCGGAACACTGGACGGACCACCTTCCCCTGGTCCTCCTGGGCATTCGCTCCTCCCTCAAGTCGGACCTTGATTGTTCTGCCGCTGAACTCGTGTTCGGTGCCACCGTCCAACTTCCCGGTCAGATGATCTCGCCAACCCCGCAAGTTGCAGTTAAGGATCCCACCAACCTCCTGCATCGCCTCCGGCAATTCCTGCGGACACTTTCTCCGGTTCCGCCCAGGCCATCCGTCTCCGAATCTTACCTCGAGAAAGATTTGGCGACATGCTCTCACGTCTATCTCCGATGTGATCGAGTCCGCCGGCCCCTGGAACCACCCTACGACGGCCCCTTCCGAGTTATCTCTCGTGGGACGAAGAACTTCCGCATCCAACGCGGCACTCGCGAGGAGGTCGTGAGCGTGGACGGTCTCAAAGCTGCCGTCCCGGACACTCCTCCGGATGACCCCTGTGGTCCCCTACCCCCTGCTCCGCCTCCCCGACCCTCTATCCCTCCGTTCCGTATACTTCCTCTGTCCTCATGTCCACAAACCCCAACTGCAACTACCCCTTCATCAACCAACAACACTGTAACCGCGAGCCATACTCACTCTACTCCTGTGCCCCCTGTATATATCACCCGTAGTGGACGCCATGTTCATTTCCCTGACGGTTTGATTACTCATGTTTTTTAGACACCAACAACTCCTTCGGCGCCGCTACGCGCCACCTTCGGTCTAGCCGGGGGGTACTGTAGCAGTTCGCGTCTCCTCGCCCTCCGACTTTGTCACGCTGCCGCCCTGTCAGCCTCACACTCCGTGTGGATACGCTGCTGGGACGCGCGCGTGCTCGAAGCCAATCAACGCTGTCCCCACTCTGATTGGCTGGCGACGTGGAGACAACGAAGGGAGCACACACGCGCTCACAACACCTCGAAGGCGGACACAGACAACAGCTTGCTTGGAGCGCGCTCGCGGCGACTGCCTACAGAGCTCTTGTGTACGCACTTTCTCAGGCAGTAAAGGTTGTCCAACTCAAACCGTCTTCCCTGACTTTTGATTGGGAATCTTTATCTTGTCGACCGCTCGACTTTCGACATACTTTTTATCCCTTAATATTTGGAACGCCTCCACCATTCTCGATACAACAGTCACCGCGAGGTGTATTTGTTTCTTCAACAGGGATGAACATTTAAATATCGTCAGTTGCTTTTTGTGAACGCTCCTTCAATCTGATATAAGTTACCCAGGAACGTTGAACTTCTTCAAAATTATCCTTTGTCTAAGCGAACTGTTACTCGTTTTTTGGATTCAGCATAACTTTTATTAATTTAGGTGCCGAAATCCTCGAATTCACCTTTCGTAGTGACGAGATTCGTGGTTTCTGGCAACTTAATTAATTAACCATAAATTATTATTAATCATTATTTTTATGAAAGACCCGTCGTGGTCCCATCAAAGCAAGTAAAAATAAATTTACATGCGAATTTTAGACAAGGTGGACAAAATCTGTACAAAGTGCAATACATAGTTTTTGAATTAGAAATCCGTTAAGAAAAATGACAAGCGAGGGATGAAAAAAACTCCACATGAAAATCCAAAAATGATTGGATTAATTTTACAGGAGAAAAAACCCCTCGAAAAAAATAGAAACAAAAAAATGCGGGCAGGACTGGCCTGCATGTGGCGGTATAGAATGGATTATAATCGGACATCGTCTGGGCCGAAATAAATGTCAGCTGTATTTGGCAGTGTATAACGAATTTCACGAAGGGGTAAGTACGCGAGTCGGTCAGGACTTGCCTGTATGGGGCCTTGAATAAGGCAAATAGGTGGCGAAATTGAAAACCAGTCTCGAAGCGATAGGAACCCAGATGCATTCGGTAACATTCATCTAAACTCATCCGAGGATGTGGCAAGGGAGATACGATCAGACTACTAGTGTATGGCGAATACGGAAGGTTTCACCAAGAGCATCTATGGAGCGCATTCTGTGAGGGCACGATGCATGAACTAAAAAATTGGAAAAACTAACATTTCTTGTGAAGGATCTTAGGAAGCGAGACTACTCACAAAGGAAGGAAATGTGAACAAAAGGCGGACCGCGTCTTTTGAATTCGGTTTGAAATTTTCGACCTCCGAGGGATTTAACTTTTTCGAGTCTCCTGAGTCCTGGACACCCTGACGGCCTCTCGGAATTTACAAGTCGATTCTTCATAGCAATATCTCGATTCTCACAGAATTTCAACGGGAGTCTCGTTCGGAAAACCTATCTCCTTCCGACCACACCAGGACTTGTGAGGGATAACCTATCTTCGTCCAGTCGCCTCTCTGCAACAGCACGGAGCAATCCCCAAAACCTACGAAAGGCTGAGTCGTTTACCTCATATCCTCGATCTGGTTGAAAATTCGTGTCATACCTTTAAGAAAACCGTTTGAAACTTGTAAACTCGGTAGTGTTATTCAGAGAAATGCCCTCAAAACACGGTGTAAAATGTACGCCCAAGGCGGGATTTGAACCCGGTCCATCGGTCGGACAGACAACCGGCGTTACCACTAGGCCACTGACCCACGCCATCGTCGTTAAAAATAATAATACATCTTCTATTACGCATGATATTAATGACTGTAGTGTTGGACGTTCTGCTATCAGACCAATGCCCGTAAAACGCGCAAAAAGTCTAGTGACGTTGGGGGATGTCACATACGACGATGAAATCTGTACCACATGTTTTGGACTCATCCATAAGTTTTCAAAAATGGAGGGGGAGTTAAAAGGTCTAAAAATGGAGGTAGAAAAGTTAAGGCAGCTTACTCACCACTTACGTGAAGAGAAGAAGCCGACAAATTCGGCAATTCAGAATCCGAAAAAAGCATATGCAACCACGGCTTCTTTAGCCATATCAAACGCTGAAACTGACGAATTTTCGTCCAGGGAACTAGACACAGTTGAATGCCAGTCTCTCAGGCGAGAAAAAGACCTGCCAAAGCGAACTCAGATAACAAAGAAACATTC